GCTGGGCTGCCGGCAGCTGCGGGCCATGCCGCGACACCCCGCTGGGCACACGGGGAAGGAGATGCACGCGGGAGTAGCTGAAACAGAGTTTATTCAAACTCGGGGACTCTGCACAGCTGATCCTTGGCCTCCAGCTGCCCGCTGCTGAGCCTGGCAGCTGCCTGCAGCGCGGTACTTACAGAGACGTGGGCATGGAGCTTGATGAGAAAATGCTTCCTCTTGAAACTCAGTTTGCGAATTTTGGACCAGTTGAACGTGTTGATCTTTGTGTTGCCCTGCAAGGATGGACACAGTGGTTACGGCAGGACGGGGCAAGCCAGGAATACGGAAATACAATGAACCAAGACCTGAGCTCGCAGGACACTGTGTGAGGCCCCGGTGCAGCTCTCGGTGCTGCTGGGGTCTGGGGAAGGGATTCTGGGATTTGGTGTTCGACCCTCCTCTCCATCAGTCTGTCATAAAAGCAGAAATTGAGGTTCAGGGCTTAACTCTGCCTACTGAAGCTATTTGTAAAACTCCAAGATCCCAAGACAAACCTCACAGAGGACAAGGGAGGGCGTCCCATCTATCCAGCTCGAATATCACATGAGTTAATGCAGAATCGGCCCCCCAAAAGAAACAAGACCTCCTCTCCTTTGCTGGGAAGCGTAGCAGAGCTCAGCTCACTCCCATGCCTTTCGACCCAGCGTAAGCAGGCTGCAGGCGTACCTTAACCCCTGTTATGCATCCATCCAGATGCAGCCACACAACACTACAACACTGGTGTCACGACAGGACCAGGTAAAATTGCGTTACTCCACGCTGTAGCACTGAGACCCTCTCAGCCTTCTGGGAGAGCCCAGAGGTTAATGAGCTCACAGACGCTTTAATCGTGCCTGAGGGGTGTTTATGGCCCTGAATAAATAACTGAGTCTGGCAGCCCTAATTATGAGCAGCAGACCCACAGTTAGGAATTTTTTTTTTCCCCTGCTCTGGCAAGATGTTCCCAGGTTGAAATTAGCCGGTGTGGGAGGCAAGGGCTGCTTCACGCCGGCTGCGAGGAAGTCTGTATTTATTCTGCAGCTGCGCCGTGATTACAGCGTTATGTAATTGCACAGACGTGAGGCGGCTATTTTTTGCTGGAAGATTACACGGTGAACACATGTGACGCAGCCCTGTAACCTGTGGTGCTCACGTGGCCACGCTCGCCGTGACGAGGGCCCACAGAGCTGGGGCGGGCACGGTGGCACGCGGCTGGCGCTGATGGGGGTGGTGGGGCTGACCACCGCAGCCATGCCCCGCAGCATCACCCTCACAGCCGAGGTCTGCTGGGGCATGCTCCTTCTCACAGAATCACAGAATGTTCGGGGTTGGAAGGGACCTCTGTGGGTCATCTAGTGCA